AGTTGATAGAGGAGGTCTGGGCAAATGCACGTGGGATCCGCGGGAGCCCACCCGCAGCAGCCTCGAGCCTCCGCGACCAGCTAGGAACATTTGCAGAGTTTGCAAAGTCCCTGCGGCAAGTCCTGGCCCAGCCTCTCCACTTCCCCGAAAGCGCGGAAGGGGGAGCTCCTTTCACAATAAAAGCCCTGCCTGGGGCAGCTGCAGCCGCCTAAAGCGGGGCCCAGCTGCTAGGAAGGCACTGTCCTGCCCTCCCAGGGCTGATAAACCAGGGCTGGAGGCAGGGGGCACAGCTCAGGGCCTGAGCGCATCCCCAGATCCCGCCTCCCAGGTGTGCAGATGCGCTGCAAGCGGGCAATCTGGAGGGACCTGCTGGGAGTCGCCAAAGCCATGGTTTTCCTCTCCCCTAGGGACCCTGAGACTCTGAATCAACATGTCTACACGCGGACCTCTGTTGTGCACTTTCTCATTCCCTGTACCCCTGCTTCCTTCTCTCCATGTATGCAATCCAGGGAACATTTGCCAATACTGTTATTTGAATGTCAATAACAAGCAAGAGGTACCACCGTGTTGAAAACACTCTGGCCATGTCCTCAAGTCAAATATCCACGTGCTGTGACCCAGCAAACCAGACCTGTCCCCAACAGAACTGCCTACAGATGTGCACCAAAAGCCAGGTAACGAGAATGCTCATGGCAGCATTATTCTCAATGATCCCCAACTGGAAACAATCCAAATATTCAAGAGACATGAGCGAATACATCAACAAAAAGACATGTAAAAGGGTATTCATAGTAACTTTTTTCACAATAGCCCCAAATCTGAAATCACCCAAATGTCCATCAGCCAGTAGTATATCCAGTCCATGGAATAGCAATCAGCAATTTGAACAGGTCACTGCTACATGCAACAACATGAATAAATCTCACAGACAAAATGTGGGGAACGCAACTAAACATACAAGTATACACATTGCCCTAACCAGTTTGGCTCCATGGATAGAGCGTTGGCCTGCGCACTGAAGGGTCCCAGGTTCGATTCCGGTCAAGGGCATGTACCTTGGTTGCGGGCACATCCCCATTAGGAGGTGTGCAGGAGGCAGCTGATCGATGTTTCTCTCTTATCAATGTTTCTAACTCTCTCTCTATTCCTCTCCCTTCCTCTCTGTAAAAAATCAATAAAATATATATATATTTTTAAATATATTTTATTGGTTTTTTACAGAGAGGAAGGGAGAGAGATAGTTAGAAACATCGATGAGAAACATCGATCAGCTGCCTCCTGCACATTCCCCACTGGGTATGTGCCCGCAACTAAGGTACATGCCCTTGACCAGAATCGAACCTGGGACCTTTCAGTCCACAGGCCGATGCTCTATCCACTGAGCCAAACCGGCCAGGGCAAATATTTATTTTTTAAAAAGTATACATACTACCCTGGCCGACATGGCTCAGTGGTTAGAGTGTTGCAGGTTTGATTCCCAGTCAAGGACACATACCTGGGTTGCAGATTCTATCCCCACCCCTGGTCTGGGCATGTGCAGGAGGCAACCAATCGATGTGTCTCTCTCACATGATGTTTCTCGCTCTTTCTCTCCCTCCTTCCCTTCCACTCTCTCTAAAAATCAATGGGAAATATCCTTGGGTTAGAGGATTAACAACAAAACGTATAGATACTAGATTATTTCCTTTGTATGCAGAACAGATAACCATAACCTATAGTATGGAGTAGAAATGGTTAACCCTGAGCAGAGGTTGGCTGGTAGGAAGCAGTGGGAAGCCTCCTGGTGCTGTCTAGATCCGGGCACAATACCTCCCACTGTTGGCCTCCACTGAAGACTAACTTGCTATTCACAAGCTTGCTTATTCTCACTTAGCAATATATGGCGACCATTTCCATGTCAACAGAAGTAACTCTCTTTCATGAATTTTAAGTTGCTGTTGCCTTATTTTATTAAACATACTTGTAGGAATCTTGTCTCCCTAAGTTAGTTATAGATGCTGCAAGGGCGCAGCTCCACCTTCCAGAGCACATGGAGAAAGAGAACTGGGGATCCGTGGAAATAGTCAAACCTGGGTTTAAAACAGAATCTCGCCTCTTTGGGCTGTATAACCTGGGACCAAAAGATGTACCCATCCAGCCTGTTTCCTCATCGACAAAATGGGAATAATGCCTACCTCAGGAAATGTGTTAGAGATTTTTAAATAGACAGTGAATGTAAGGAGCTTAACACCTCACAGGTGCTCATCAGATGGCAGCTCTTCTCTTCCACCCTCACCAAGGGCTTGCTCACAGAGCCCTCGAAAAAGCTCCGTGCTGGGGGTGGGAGCGGCTGGGAAGAAGTCAGTGAGGGAAAAAGGAGACATATGTAATACTTTAAACAATAAAGAATTTCAATTAAAAAATAATAATGAAAAAAAGGGGAAAAAAAGAAAAAGCTATGATGATCCCTTACCTTGTTCCTGTACCCAAGCATCAGTCTAGAGCAGGGGTCCTCAAACTACGGCTCACAGGCCACATGCGGCCCGCCAAAAACACTTATCCGGCCCACCGGGTGTTTTTGCCGCCGCTGCCTGTTGCTGAATTTGTTCATAGTTTTTTTAAAACTATCGCCGAAACCGGTTTGGCTCAGTGGATACAGCGTCGGCTTGTGGACCGAAAGGTCCCAGGTTCGATTCCGGTCAGGGCATGTACCTGGGTTGCGGGCACATCCCCAGTGGGAGGTGTGCAGGAGGCAGCTGATCGATGTTCCTCTCTCATCGATGTTTCTAACTCTCTATCTCTCTCCCTTCCTCTCTGTAAAAAATCAATAAAATATATTTTAAAAAACACACAAAACAAAACAAAAAAAACTATGGTCCGGCCCTCCAACGGTCTGAGGGACAGTGAACTGGCCCCGTTTAAAAAGTTTGAGGACACCTGGTCTAGAGGATGACTGAAGTGCTGCTTCAATGCAACATGCTTCCCAATGCCAATCACTTCTTCTCCAGGTCAGCCGGCACTCTTTAGCTGATGACATCATTTAAGATCTGAAGATGAATTCTGAGCACTCGGGTGATGTGTACCTTGAATGGCTCTCAGTCACGGACAGAGATCTCCTTGGAGGAAATACACTGAGCTTCAAGGCTGGCAGGCAGGATCTGCCCCATCCAGGCTGGTCCCAGAATCAAGGGTATACAAGAGAAATGTTTTAAATAATGTGGATTTGAAGAAGTAAACAGCACCACCGTGTGGTCAACATTCCATGTGGAAGCTGTTCTAGGCCTTGATTCGGTCTTGAGTTCTTCCTACTTACTAAGAACCCGGCTTCACAGGGGTGGAGACAGAACTCAGAATTATCCTATGACCCAGCGAGTACAGGGTGGGGAGAAAGTAGGTTTACAGTTGTTCATATGGAAAATAATACAGTAATTAATTACTAACACAAAAAATAAACTGTTTGGCGTACTCACACAACTACAAACCTACTTTTATCCTACCCTGTATATATCTAGAGTATGTACCCACAAAAAATGAAAACATACGTCTGCATTAAAACCTGTACACTAATGATCATAGCAGCATTATTCATAACTAGAGGCCCGATGCACAAAGTTCATGCAAGAGTAGGCCTTTGCAGCCATGGCGGCTGCAGCCCCGGCTTCATCCCAGAAGGACATCTGTCTAATTAGCATCTTACGCTTTTATTATTATAGATGCCCAAACTGTGGAAACAACCCAAATGTGCTTCAACTAATGAATGGATAAGCAAAATGTGGTATTATCCATCTAATGGGTATTGTCTATATATATAAAAAGCCAGCGATTGCAACGCCATCACGACTGGAATGACCAGAGACCAGAACACCACGGCCCCTTGCCCAGGCTGGCCCCACCCCCAGCAGGGACCCCCACCCCGATTGGTGGCGTGGCCGGCCTGCAAACTACCCATGGCCCCTCACCCAGGCTTGCCCTGCCCCCTCATGAGGACCCCCACCCCAATCGGGGGCATGGACAGCCTACAAACCCCTGGTGGCCCCTCCCCAGGCCAGCCCTGCCCCCCAGCCGGGACCCCCCCCCAACCCCAATCGGGGCAAGGCCAGGCTGCAAACCGCCCTCAGACCCTCACCCAGGCTGGTCCTGCCACCTAGTGGCAGATCTGAGACCCCCATCAGGGCAGGCCAGCTGGTCCCCACACATGCACCAGGTCTCTATTCCTAGGGTAATATACAAATTGACCCTAAAGGCGGAACGACCAGAACTACCACTGGACCAGTCACTATAAGGCGCACTCCGTCCCTTTCCCCAGGCAGCAGGCTCCGATCACCTGATGGTGAACAGGGAACTGGGGGTGGGTGGTGGGGGATGTGGGCGGCGCCAGGCCAAGGCCCCTGCCCTGCCTATTGCCCCACACACAGAGGGCAACCAGTGGTGGCGGGAAGGGCCAGTGAGCAGATGGGAATAGCCGACCTCTCAGTCCCTTCCCCCGGCTGTCAGGCTCCAATCACCCGATGGCAAAAGGGGAACCGGGGGTGGGAGGTGGGGGGGAGGGGCGGCTGTGAGCAGCCAGCGAAGATGGCCCTGACCGCAGGCCAGGCCTAGGGACTGTTCCCGCACACGAATTTCATGTGCTGGGCCTCTAGTTCACACATAAAAGGAACGGAGCACTAGCATGTTACACAATGAAAGAAACTTGAAAGTGAAAGCCAGCTGAACATGGCCAGCTGAGTATGGTTCTATTAATACCAAACATCCACAACAGGCAAATCGGTAGAAACAGAAAGTAAGTAAGTGGCTGCCTAAAATGAATGTGGGGGAAAGAGGGATGGTCAGTGACTGCTAATGGATACAGGGCTTCTTTTTTGATAACAAAAATGTTCTAAAAGTAGACTATAGAAATGCTTAAACGAATCTGAATATACTAAATACCACTGAGCTGTACATCTTAAATGGATGAACTGCAGAGTTTGTGAGTTATACCTCAATAAAGCTGTTTTAAAAAGGACATGAAATCAAGCTTTGTATATCAACATGAACAATTTTAATGAATGAAAAACATTAAATCTAGGAAATGCATGTGTCAGCAGAAAAAAATTCATACTTGACATCATTTAAGATGGCTCTTAAACCAACTCCTTACTCTGAAAAGTGGTATTTAAACGTAAGGAATTAAGCCTTTGTTCTGTCTTCCCAGAAGAGATGATTCTGAAGAAGTTTTAATTTTATGGCATCTGACATCATTTTAGCTAAGTGGATACATCTTCTTAATTTTGCGCTGTATCCTAAAGGGAAGGAAAAATCAAAGTATCTGTAAGCTACCTTAAAGTATTTCAATATAAAAAATAGAATTTTAATATATTAATTATCATCAAAAGCAAAAATAAATTTTTCTATCTGTTCTGTTGGTTAGTGGACAAGATAATAATACTACAGTTTTACCAATTTTGTAAAACTGGGGGAAACTGGAAAAAGGTGATCACACATAACCAGACAAGTATTCATTATTTTTTTTAAAATTTTATTGTTGAAAGTATTACATATGTCCCTTTTACCCCCCATTGGCTCCCACAGCCCGCCCCCGCCCCTGCCCCAATCCTTCACCACCCTACAGTCTGTATCCATGGGTTATGCATGTATGCATACAAGCAGACAAGTATTTAGAAAAACGTCTCCACACATCCCCAGGGATAAAAGCATCCCAGTGTGTGGAACGCTCAAGCAGGGTGTTTACTACAGTGTAAAGCAAGCATGTCAAACTCGCAGCCGGCAGGCCTCATGCCTCGTTACATGAGTTTGACGTGCTTGGTGTAAACGGATAGGAAGCAATGAATCACATACAGTCAGTGTGAGCAAGGATCCCAATGTACTCCATGATGCTTTTCACAACACACATCTCTCATGTTGATGAAATAAAAGCAAAGGAAGAGACACCGCTGGCAAGGGCACCCCTCGCTCAACTCACCTGCAAGGTCTGCTTTCCAACTCTGACCTTGTGGCTCAATGAAACACGGCTCTTTCCCTTGTTCCAGCTGAGAGATCAGAGCTGGTTTGAAACTGGGTGATGCTGCTTGAAGGAAAGAAGACACACACAAAGATTAGAGGTCAAGAGGTCAACCTCAGCCTATGGCTACAACTGAGTTGTAGCCAGAGGTGAGGAGAGCAAATCCTGGGCGGACTGAGCTAGAGGTACCCTAAATAGGGGTCCTGGGAAGAAGCCTCAGGATCATGCTCCCAAGGAAGCCTGCAATACCCTGGGAGGCAAATTTCTATTTAAGGGGAAACAAAATTTCTTACCTTCTTTGCTAGGGGATGGAAAATTCTCACTGGGGAAAACAGACACATGGCTCCTAGGGGCAAATCCCACAGGGAGAATAGGGGGCTGAGTTCTCTCAAGATAATCTGGAGGCTCAATGCTAGGGTGAGGGTACCTCTCTAAGGAGGGGAGGGAGGGTAGCTTTTATGGTGGAAGAAGAAGGAAAGCCTTCCTGGAGATCAGACACCGGGGCTGTCTGTACCTGGCAACTCTTGACATTGGCATTTGGGGTCAGCTACTAAGTGTAAGAGAGCCCTTTAACTCCTGAGGGCCCAGGCAGAGACCCACGGCAGAGGCCTTACCTAGGAAGGCCACAGCCGCATAGTTCTCTAGCATCACATCCCTGTACAGGGCCCTCTGAGCAGGTCCCAGGCTGGCCCATTCCTCCGCAGTGAAGTACACGGCCACATCCTCAAAAGTCACCAGTTCCTGAAACAACAAGCTACTGCTCTTCCAGGCCTCAGGACTTTGGTGATGGTCAACACTGTCAATGAAAGGCCTGGGAAGGGCACCTACAATGGTATGTATTTAGTATTGGGACCCTCATGTGCCTGGTGAGTTTTTGTGTAAAATTTGGAAGGTGTGGGGAAAGAGGATGCCAATTAAAGGCAGCCAGAGTTCAGCATACTTTCCCAGTTAGAATCAAATACATGAGCTTCCAATATAAGTGACCTCCAAAGAGACTACTATATAGGAGCTGGGCTTGAGCCTGAGCGTGAAATTACATATATATAAAAGCAGAACTGCCGGGGTCCAGCCCCAGCGGTCCAGGGGTTCCCAAAGGTGTGGACAGCGTCGGTGAAGAATGAAGGACACGGAGACAGCATTCAGATGATCAGCATAGTCAGGTTCTTCTTCATTGTCCTGTTACAGCTGTATATATACTATTTGATTCTATAAGCATGCCTCTATAGTTACATCATGGTATGTTTTGGGTCCTCCTTTGACCTTTTACAGTTCCTTGTTTTCTTATCTGACCTTTGCTAAAAATCTTATCTCTATCTAGCTCTGTTGATTTTAATCTTATCTATTGTCTATGTTTCTATATTCTATTCTAAAGGTTAGTCTCTGTGTTTCATTGTAAGGGCTAGTTTGTTATTTCTATTCCAAGGTCACTATTCTACTGCTCTACTGTTAAGCTATAAGGAAATAACTGAAGAAGATTTTCCTATTCTATGGCCTAAGTAAAGGTTATGTCCTTTTAGCCTTGCTGGTGGGTCTTCCTTGGGACTGCCCTGCGTCGGCGGGTTTTTAGGGGTATAGGCTTTGGTACTTTCTCTAGTGGGTATACCCCTGGGGATGTGGGCCTAGCAAGTCCTAAATTTATTGCTAACAGTCTTAGTCTAAGTTCCTCATAAGTAGTACACGGTATTTCTGTAACACTAGGGGGTCTTACTGATTTATTCCCTTCCCTAGTCCCATTAATCCCTAACTCCAGGGAAACATTCCCACCTGGGGAAACAACCTTTCTCGGGGAGGTGGCTCTGGTTAGAACACATAGCGCTAAGAAGGGGAGCAAACATATTAAGAACAGTATGCCATATACGCCAGGTCCCTTGGAACAATATGCTGTGCAGATGTTTCTTCCCTGCAGCGACTGTGTCAAGCAGCAAGGATGGAACGGCTTCTGGCAGAGAACTAATATGGAACTGAATATGGCTGACACCTTAGCTCTCAGCCCCTCCCCACTTTGTAATAGTTGGTGATTATTTGGGGTGCTCATTTTACTGTCATTTCCCAATTCTGCTTTCATCCCAGTTCTTCCCTCATTCTTGTCTCCTTGTCCACTACCCCAGGCACAGAGCTCTCCCATTTGTCAATGACTCCCCACCCCCATGCAAAGGTAGTGAGGTTGGAGATCCAATAGGAAAACATTGCTTACTTGGAACAGGCTAGAGAAAAATCTGCTTATCAAAGGACACCACTAAGGGAGTGAAAAAACAAGCCAAAGGCTGGGAGAAGATATTTCATAACACATACAGCTGACAAAGAACTCATATCCATAATACAGAACTATAACTAGGAGAAAAAAAATGACATACGATGTATTACAAAATGGGGAAAATAACTGAACAGGGACTTCACATAAGAGGAGATCCATGTAGCCAATAAACATATGAAATAGTGCTCCATATCACTGGTTGTGCAGAAAAGGAAATCTAAAAACGAGTTAGCAATAATGAATGACAAGTGTTGCTAAGAATGTGAAACAACTGGAACTCTCATGTACTGCTGGTAAAAATATAAATTGGAACAACCATTTCAGAAAATTGTTGGGCAGCATCTACTAAAACTAATCAAATGTATACCCTATGACCTAGCAATTTGACTTCTAAAGACGCACCCAAGAGAAATGAGCGTCGTGTCCACCAAAGGGCATATACAAGAATTTTCACTGCATTCCTATTCACTGCATTCTGAAAACAATAAAAATATCCATCCACAGAAGAAGAATGAATAAATAAAATGTAATATAATCATATAATGGAAAACTATTCAGCAATTAAAAAGGACTGTTATGTGTAAAGTTCATAAACACATTGGTGAACAGAATAAGGCAGATACAAAAGAATACATGTTGAATGATTCCATTTACATGAAGTTCAGGAACAAATAAAATTAAACTATGGTGACAGAGGTAGTTTGGGATGGACTGCTTGGGATGGCAAATGATAGAGCTTGTTGTGGTAGTGATAGTGGTCTATGTCTTAATATGAGTGATGGTCATACAAGTGTGTATATATATTTTTAAATATGTTTTCTTTTAACTGATTTTAGAGAGGGAGGAAGGGAAAGGGGGAGAAAGAGAAAGAAATATCGATTGGCTGCCTCCTGCACACTCCCTACTAGGGATGGAGCCTGCAACCCACCCTGACAGGGAATCAAACTGGCGATATTTTGGTGCATGGGACGACAGTCAACCGAGTCACACTGGCCAGGGCAGGTGTGTATATTTTTAAAAAGTGAGCTATACAGTTTAGATTTATATCGTAGATAAATAATACCTCACTGAGAAATTTACGTATTTTATATATATAAATGTTACATGTGTATATACATGCATGTATACTTATGTATATACAAGTTATATGAATGTCTATGTGCATATATATATAAGCATACATGCATATATAAATATATGTGTATATACATATATGTATTCATGTAGAAACAGAGGAAACTCAGCTCACCTGGGGCCCAGCTGTTAAGGACATTGCTGTCATTATCTGACCTCTTTTATTCGGGTCTTGAGGAATGGTTAAGACTCAGGAGCTGAAGGTAAAGAAACAAGCATTAGTAACTGTAACTCTGCTGACCATAACTCCTGCACCCATCTGATCCACCCTATTTTGAGGCTATATCAACTGTTACTCATCAGTTGTTGCCTTGTGTCAGTGACAATACACATCTCACAGTGGCCAGACAGCAGACATGCTGCTAAACTCATGGAGGGTTTAAGTCCAAGGGTAACCAAAGCAGTGATTCAGATTGAGTAAATGGGTACCCCTTGTAGTAGCTGTGTCCTCCAATTCTCTTAAATGATGATATTGTCTTCATATCTTTGTAATAAATGTCCCTTGCAGTGGATACTTAATAAAATTGACATATTAAACAAAATAATTTTAAGCAAAAAGGTCTGATCCATATTGTTGACCTAAAAGTAGAATGGCAGCATTGGCCACCCTATAGCGGTTCTCAACCTGTGGGTCGCAACCATCGGAAAACACATATAGCATATCAGATATTTCCATTACGATTCATAACAGTAGCAAAATTACAGTTTTGAAGTAGCAACGAAAATAATTTTATGGTTGGCGGTCACAACATGAGGAGCTGTATTACAGGGTCGCGGCATGGGGAAGGCTGAGAACCGCTGCTACAGATCATTCCCTTCCACTTCTTCCTACGGGGAAAAGCACAGCTAGGGAGCTGCAGCACAAACAAAACCCAACGGGGAGCGAATCACAACCCAATACACGGCACTAACAGGACCCGCGGCTTAATGCCATTGATCACCAACCTCAACAGTTAGGTTAAGACAATGAGGAAACGTTAAGTGGATGTTATTTCTTGGTCCAGAAATCTTTCCCTATCTCCAATACTGTACCTAGGTAATTCCATGCCAAACACTGGACACACTGGACATTAGGTGCTTGATGGATATGACTCGTCATGAGATTTTTGGGTGTTTTTTTTTGGGGGGGGGGGAGGGATTATACATTCAAATGAGCCAATCCAAATCCAGGACTCCACATTCTCCAATTTGTGAACTAAGTAGCCTCCATTACGGAGGGGGAAGGGGGGGTAGAAGGAGGGGAGGGGGGAGGGGGAGGGACCATTTCAGCACTGCCAAGACTTTGCCTGCTCTGGGGACATTAATAAGCTTCCTGATGGGGTTGACACCAGGGCAGGTGAGTAGATAAAAGTGATCACAGCCCGGCCTCCTGGGACCACCTGGAGCGGGAGAGAGCCGTTAAGGTGGACACGGGCTGGGGGTGCGGCCGGGTCTCCGCAGCCGGGACGAGAGGGGCTGAAACGGCCGAGGGGCCTAGTCTCTGTGGATAGCGTGTCCTGGAGCTCAACCAAGACTTTTTACGAACCTCGGTGTCAACGCCCCTCAAATTCTATCAGTTCCCAAAAAGAATAAACAGGCCGCTGGCTGTGCTGGGGACGAGAAACCAAGGGGTCGGAGCCGAAGGCTGGCGCCCCCTCTCGACAGGATGGACCCGGGGGTGGGGTGAGGACCCGGGGGTGGGGTGAGGACCCGGTGGCAGCAGCCGCCGCTCTCGTCTCCCCGCAGGGCCTCCCCTTCCTACTCGGGCCGGGTCAGACCCGCTCACCCTGGGCTCTGAGCGGCCTACGCAGCCTCCCAACGATCGGAGGTTTTGCACGCGGCCCGCGGGTGCTCGCAAACCAAACTCTCTGCGCGAACAATGGCTGCGCCCCGGAAGTACTTCCTCACATTGACCCGCCGACCAAACCGTCCCTGAGAGTCCCTCTAGTAACTGGAGGACCCCGCATCTCGGTGGTTCCTCCTAGTTCCCGCGAGACGAGCCTAGGAGACGGGAGGACGGGCGAGATAAATCCCGTCTTCTTCCCAGCCTCCAGCGAGCCCGCGCCCGGGTCCTGCACCCGCACCACCCACCTCCTCCGGAAGGAGGCGGAGTCTGAGCGGGAGCCGGAAGCCGAGCTTTGGTTCGTAGCTGCGGAGCCCGCCTCAGTAGTCCCGCCCCTTGGAGGCGGAAGCCACTTCTGGAAACAGACTGGCCCAGCCCCTGCTGGACGTGTTTTCCTCCCGCGGGTGGGCCCTTCCCTTCAGGGCCTGGAAGAGCGATCTAGAGCCTGGAGGGGGATCTGAACGGGGCTGCAGGGCGACCCTGGACGGGGTGGAGGCCGCAGCACAGAGGAGTCTCCGAAATGTTTGCTGAATAAATGGAAGTCGAGGAACGGAGTGGTGATCTTATTCTATATCCAGAAGAACCACCCCCCAGGATGTCAAAAAGGCAGTGCTTTTTGGTCCTCCGTAGAGAGCCACCACGAAAGAGGGGAGGTCGGGAGCAGGGAGAAGGGAGCCCAGTCCCCAGCCAGAAGCCCACCACGCTGCCCTGCGCATCTCTCCTAGACTGTCCTGACCGGTCCGCGAACTTCACTTGTCCGCCACTGTTGATGTCAGTTGTTTAGTTCCTACCAGGCTACTGTGATGCCCCACATGGAGCTCAGAGTTACAGCTCTTTTTACCTCACATTCATGCTCAACCATTGTTTCCCACAAAACCACCACTCTACCAAGAAGGCTGGGCCCAGGGGAAGCATCCTGACCTCGGCCATATCCTATGGAGACCGACACTTCCCCGGGATCCACAAGGTCCCTGTGTGGAACTTAGGTCACATCTTTTCAAGGTTATCTTATCTCAAGTTCTGGGTGGTATGCATAACCTGGGACCTTTATAGGAGCTCCTCTGATCACTCCCCAAAGACTTAAATATGGAAGAGCAGGAGTTAGGACCTCATTTTACTGGCGAGAAACTGCATCATCATAAGATACATTGTTGGTGGGGTAGGTATGCTAAGGCAAAATCAAAAGAAGCTATACCAGAGTGGTTTGCATAAGTAATATTCATTTTAGAACAATGTAGTTTCAGGGGGGGGAAAAATCACTGTCCTTAACATAAAATAATACAATTTTAATACTGTCATTAGTGATACAGCTTCATTTCTCTCCAGTTTTCTTGTCTGCTCTCTTCTTGCCCTCACAGGCTAAGCAACCTTAAATGAGTTTTATAACCTTTCAACCTCAGATTTCTCACTTATAAAATGGGGATGAATATCTACCTTAATCAGATTGAGAAAAATTAGAGGATGTATGTATGGTGGTTAGCACAGCGTAAGTGCTCAACTAAATGTTGCCTAATATGAACATGGTTGAACAGGGGGACCAATCTTGCTAGGGTATCTGTTCAGGAGGAGAAACAGATTAGAGCCGTAGCAAATGTGGATGGTCATCTCATTTTGTCTCCGGGGTTCCTGTATCATGAATATCATAAACAAGTATCACCACTATGTATTCTCTAATGTTCCAGAAGGTGGGAGATCTGACAGTTATAGGTTTTTTTCTCTAGCATGGCACCTCTGGTGCTTAATCAAAACACATTTCTGACTGAAGGCCTTCCCACAGTCATTACATTTATAGGGTCTTTCCCCAGTATGGATTCTCTGATGTCGGATAAGGTTTCCCTTGCAAATGAAGCTTTTCCCACAATCAGTACATTCATGAGGCTTCTCTCCAGTGTGGATCTTCTGGTGCTGAACACGATCTGAGTTCCACGTGAAGCCTTTCCCACAGTCCTTACATTCATAAGGCTTCTCCCCAGTGTGGATTCGCTGATGTTGAAGAAGGGCTGGGTTCCGAATAAAGCTTTTCCCACACTCCTTACACGTATATGGTTTCTCCCTGGTGTGGATTCGCCGATGCTGTCGAAGGTTTGCATTCTGATTAAAACCCTTCCCACATTCCTTACATTCAAAGGGTTTCTCTCCTGTGTGTATTAACTGATGCCGAATCAGTTTTGACTTCCAAATGAAGGTTTTAGCACATTCTTGACATACATAGGGTTTTACACCTGTATGACTTATCTGATGTGCAATGCAATGTGATCTAAAACTGAAAGTCTTCCCACATTCCTTACATTCATAGACCTCTCCATCATGAATTCTCTGATGTTGATACAAGTCTTCAGTTTGATCAAAACACTTGCCACATTCTTCACAGACACAGAATACCTGCTCACTTAGAATTTTCTGGTGTATAGCCAGGTGGGTGTTAACATCAGTATTTTCTGAACTCTCTTCTACTGAGATCATTTCACCTTTGGCAATCACTTCCATAATATCATTTGTAGTGTTCCCCACATTTCTCCCATTGGGGTAGTTACACCACCTTCCTAACCTGCATTTCTCCTCTTCATGGGTTTTTCCAAACCAGAATCTCCCGGACCCACACCACGGGGGTCCTCTTGATGGTACCATGTGGTCCTGCGGCTCCTCAAAAATTTCCTCCTTCAGAATAAAATCTTCTTTCTCATCACTCTTCAACACACCCTCTGGAAGAAGAAATCAGAGCTGCAAATGTCATGATTACCCATGACAGAGTGACTACAGTCACCAATATATCCATTTCTCTCCAAGTGCCAGAGGCCTGACCTAGCTGAAATGACAAAGCAGAACTAACACACAGAAAGCCACCAAAAGCAAAAGGCAACAACTAGACAGAGTTCCTAAGGGCTGTGAATCTCAGCACCAGACCCAAGCATGGGGGCAGTGGTGCTCTTGGGAAATAGTCCAATTGAATCTAAGGGGGACAAGTCAGAATTACTTACAGGTGGTCTAGTTTATAACCTAAGAAGAACAAGCCAGGATTCTGGGCAAAAGACCTGGTCAGAAATCAAGAATCATTGTGGTATACCTGCGGAACCTGAGCTCATCACATAGAGGGGAGCAGCAAGAAGACTCTCCCTCATACTTGTTAACATAAAAAGGAAGTGTAGTCTTCTCATTCAATCCAATCACCAGGGCTGCCATGAAAAGTACTTCCCCAAACTACTTGAGGCAGAGCTGGGAAAAGACTGCCTCCTTTTTTCTCATAGGGTGTTATTCACACCTCTTCCACAGTACCACCTTTTGCTATAATTATACATTTCCATATAATGTCCTATTATTAGATTGTGAGCCCTTCTGGAACAGGCACCAAATATTACTTGTTTTTTAATCCTTGGCAACTAACACAATGAGTAAAATGTGTTTACTTTTAAAATGTTGGCTGACTATAGGCCATCTATTCAGTTTGAGTCTATGACCCAAAATGCACCCAATTTAATTAACTGTGCCTGTTCAATTGAAGTTGGAAGCTTGGAGTTTGTTTTCTCTTGATTGATTTGGAGATTTTTAGAGGATTTTTATTTAGAACATAAATGGCAAAATGGACTTTTAACATTTTACAATGGGAAATACAGAGGAAAATATGTGACTAGGAGAAAAGTGCTCATCTCCTTCTCACCAGTAAGTGGGTTCAGGTTCAATGGCTCTTCCTCCTGCTCAAGATGGGAGATCCAAGCAGGAAGGGACACCATGGCAGGAGGGAGCGCTGTGTACAGTGTGAGCCTCCTGATGCGGGGCCCCGGGCATAAGGAAACACCGTGTATGGTGCGAGCCTTCTGACTCTGTGCCAGGCCCCACTGCGTTAGGGAAACACTATGCCCCAGCTGAGCCTTCTGGTGCAGGGAAGGGTAGTATATAACAAAAAAAGGAAAAGTAATGGATAGCCTGCTAAGATATATATATAGAAGGCTGGCTCCGTGGGAGAAGTGGAGCCCATTAGGAAAGAAGCAGAGATGAAACATGGAAGAAGAGAATGAAGGTGGATGGAAAGACTGGCAACACATATGACTTGAAATTTAAGGGGCGTAAGAATATAAATAATAAGCCCTGGCTGGATAGCCAGTTGGTTAGAGCATCATTCTGATATGCCAAAGTTGCTGGTTCAATCCCCAGTCAGGGCAAATTCAAGAATCAACCAATGAATGCATAAATAAGTGGAACAACAAATTGATGTTTCTTTCTTTCTTTCTTTCTCTCTCTCTCTCTAAAATAATATATATATATATATATATATATATATATATATATATATGTATGTGTGTGTGTAAAGGATAGAAAATAGAGGTACAGGAAATTGTTATTCCATCAGTTCCCCAAAATATGAAAACATATCACTCACTTTAAAATGTCAAGAAGAAATAGGAAAGGCTATGGTTTCTTCTATCTTTCACTTAAGAAAAAATCAGGATAGGATGGACTTGCAAGGAGCTATACCAGAGGCTATGTCAGGAAGCCATGATCTCTGAGTTTCCTTCCTTCCTATCCATCTTTCTATTGCCATCTCTTCCACAAAGAATCGACAATGGGTCTCTCTATAGCAGTGGTTCTCAACCTTCCTAATGCTGCAACCCTTTAATACAGTTCCCCATGTTGTTGTGACCCCCAACCATAAAATTATTTTTGTTGCTACTTCATAACTGTAATTTTGCTAGTTAGGAATCGTAATGTAAATATCTGATATGCAGGATGTATTTAGGTGACCCCTGTGAAAGGGTTGTTTGACCCCCACAGGGGTCACGACCCACAGGTTGAGAACCGCTGTTCTATAGCATCCATAAGAACTGGCCCCTCAGCCTCACTCAGCTATTTCCAGAGTCACTTTTTACTCTAAAGATAGACACCTCTACACAAAAGTCCACTCTAATACACAA